TAATTTACTATATTTCCTCAGCGTTCTGTTGGGTTTTCCTATCAACTCCTATGTGATATGGCTTATGGTGACAGGAGCAGGGAATGGACTTGCAGCAGAGTTCTTCAGTCTCAACCTCTCTGTCTGTGAGATGCTCTTTTATATGGAATGTCTCTTTAATCTCATCAGCTATAAAGTTGAAAACGTTTGGATAGCTGCAAATTTTGTAGATGGACTAGCTCTGACTTGTCCTCTGTTTCAGTGCCTGATGTGTGTTGAACGCTACCTGGCAGTGGTTCATCCTGTAACCTTTCTGAAGCTCAAACCTCTCAGATATAAAGTGATCTGCTCTGTTAGTGTCTGGGTGGCAAGTTTTATCTCCGGTGGAATCAGTATTATTACTGTGTTCTTGTTCCTGCTTGACTTGTATTACATTTTCATCATGGCACATTTCGCCCTCTTCCTCTTCATCCAGTTGTTTTGTCTTGTGGCTGTTCTCAGAGCTCTGAAGCAGTCAGGACCAGGAGAGAGAGGGAGAGAGAGAAACGAGGAAAACCACACGAAGAGAAGAGCGTTTTACATCATTCTAATAACTGCTGTGACCATGCTAATTATATTTTTTCCCTATATGATTTTATTAACTCTTTCTGATTTAGTGGACAATGGAGAAATATTATTGTCTTTTGGGTTTTTTTGTTTTACTTCAGCTGGTTTGGTGCAGCCTCTTCTCTTTCTCTACCGGGTGCGGAAACTGCACTTCATGAAATGTCAATAATTCTGCTATAAATGGCATGAATGTCATATAAAATGTCTTAAATTATGAAGTCTAAAATCCATTTTCTATTTTCCAACTATATTATATTTTGTTGTTGTTGTTTGAAATGTAGTCATTTTGTTTATGTTTTTATGTTAGTTGCAATTAGTAGGGCACAACGGGGCTAAAGTCCCCGTTGCTAAAGGCACCCGGGGTAAAAGGCGCCTTTGATATTATTTTCATCTAAGCCACTAGATGGCACAAAAACGCGGCGTAGCACTTTCCAGAACATCCGCTTTTCAAGATGCACATGTATATTTGTCTGATCCTTGACCCGATCGCATGCAGCAGCGCAAAGTAGATTCTATGCTTACTTGATCTAATATTTTATGTTTTTTAAAATGTTGTAGATTTAAGTAGCAAATGAGAATCGCTAAAATTAATGCATATATTTTGAGAAAAAGGTCTTCTTTATGATTTTCAACAATTTTTAAATAACGAAAGAATATGTAAAAGTATGGTATTTGGGGTAAAAAGCGCCCCTGCTGTTGGCACAGTAATTAACATGATAATTAATAGATGGCTGACCTTTCCATTTGTTGACATGACATGGTTAGATTCAGATGGTAAATATCATATTATGTTGGGTGTCCATATTAGAGATAATCACCATGTTTAGAATGAAACCATCATATTTAAAAACATGATATTAATCATATCAAATAATAAAATATCATTTGTTGTTACTACTGTAAATATATATTCACTTATTATTGGATCTCCTTCAATACTTTCAGAATCTTTACTTATTAAAACGATTTTGTTTATGTATTTTAAAATATATATTTTTTTATATTAACACATTTTAAAG